GTAGATTCGACAAACAGGGATGTGGTTACAAAGCACAGCCCAAACGCTGACACGCTTAGATGGTTGAAAGGCAAACGAAACTTAACAGGCATTAGTAGATGTCAGTCGTGCCGTGGGGAATAAATTGTGCAAAGTTGGGCTGGAGTAAGTATATCTAAAGCGATCCCACAAATAAAACGTCATTGTAAAAGCAGTGTAAACTTATAATAGACTGCCACTGAAAAGAACCCCGTCTGAACAAGAATACTTAATTTTGGGAGGTAAACAACGTAGACTCATCTAATTTAACCTATACTTAGTTGATGGAACCTACTGAGTAAAACCGTGATAGATTTCCCGTTCACCTTACCTTAAAGTCGCAAATGTAGTACTCTCGGCCGTGGATTGCGACATCGGACGGCTCCTTCATATAGTTGCTGCAGTCAAACCACCTTATCAGTTCACCTTCCTCTGACAGAACAAAGGCTGAGGGAGACACGCTGTCGATGGCGACTATGTGACCTGGAATATTTAGACAAGTAAAAAAACGAACATACCATGTTGGTTGATGGCCAAGCCCGCAACTATGTCAATATACTTTATTTGAATACGTCGAACAAAATGACCACTACGACTGAAAAGTTGCATTCGCGACCGTTCATTACCACGATCGCAAACGACGTAGCGTTGACTTTGTCGTATAATGGCCACTTTTCTTGGGTACCATAACAGTCCATCCACGCGTCCCGAGACGCCAAAGAATGAAATAAAGTCTCCAAGTTTACTAAAAATCTAAAGAACTAGTGACCAAAAATACTACAAACCTGTATTCGATGGTTGTAAGTGTCCGCGACAACAATTTCTTCATCAAAACCAAGACAGAAGCCATGGGGCGAGTTAAGGCGCCCAAGTTCGCAACCAAGTGAGCCCCACTTTGCTAATAACGACATACTAGCGCACCGTGCTGATCGTATACGAGAGTATTCGTAAAGGGATGCATTGTAACTGACAGGCAGTTTGGACCTCGATAAGAGACTGTTAGGGTCCAGATCCATTCCGGGAGGACAAATAGACGGAGAGCGCAGCCCATCCTGACTAACCGGACCAACGGTAAGACCCTGATTGAGAAACACAGGGTTCATTTGCGTTACATGTGAATTAAAGGCTTGGTCGAAAGTCCCCATTGGCAAATCTCCCCAAGCTGAAACGTTCGATGCCAAACTGATAGGGCCAGCACGGTGTGGAACGATGGCGGACGTATCCCCGTTCTCAGACATGAGGCCTGTGGTTATGGCTCTGTTTTGACCTGTATGAGTGTCTGACAAGCCCACCGGTAATTGGTGCTGACTTGCGAAGTGGTCGTGAGAATGGCTCGTCTTCACCGCCAAATTCTTAAAAGTCTCGCTCAGATCTTCTCCGGGGAAAGTATTCAGCCTGAGAAGACGTCCGGCATGGTCCGAAACTGGGGAGCTGTCAGAGAGGAGATGCGCTGCCTCTGTGGTCGGCAAGTCAAATGATCCAAAATTGTTGTAGATTACGGAGTTAATAGAACTCTGGGGCTCGTTAAACAAAATTTTCGAAGGTATGTCAGGACGAAAATTTGTCGACTTCAACTGTTCAATACAACCTAGGACGACCTTAACCAGCCTGCTCATTTGAAGCGTAGAACACTTCTGCAAGTAGGAAGAGCAAAACTCCGAAACAAAATCAATATGGTCGACGGTCTTCCTAATTTGGTTAATGCGAGACCAAACCCTCATCTCGAGGTCATCGTGAAGTTCGCGATTTTTCTGAAGGAATTCCTCCTAAAAGATGGTTTTATCAGGCGAGAAAGTACCTTGACTGCATCGACTGCGGCCTTCCATGTGTTGCAAAGTTCCTCAATGTGGTTTTTGTTGTGGTCGCGAGAGGCGCTTAGATCAGATAACGCAGAATGCAAACTATCTGTCACTTCACGGAAGGTATCCTGTTTTTCGTGACATTCGCGCATTCCCTCGGACAAGAGAGATTCGAGGTGCTTCGGTACAGCCGTCAAACTTAATTTAACATGACCCTTGTGATCGGTTTCATAGCATCCACGGCACATAGGTACCTGTGAGGTTTTTGAATTGGAAACCTGGAAAGACATACGTGACATTGCATGCAGAACAAAGAGTATACATCGCCCGCATGTTCTGTGCATGGCACTGGCTTAGCGTTTTGCATGGTTTTTGTAAGTTCTTTTATGTTTTTCTTCTCGCTTTCGGTAAGGTCAAGAACTTCATGGAAGGAGAAAAGTTTCATGACCTACATGAGTGGTCGAATACTAGAATTCAAGATACCTTATGTATGTCTCTACACCTATCACAGAGGGTACCTGCACAGTGTATACATCTATACTGTGCTTCCCGACCTTCAGTGCAGGTTGAACATTTTATGACAGTTTCGGATTCATTAGTATCGGAGTCTTCTTTTTTCTCAAGAACAGAAATATTAAAAGGCTCCAGACTCTTCAGTCCACCGGATGTTTTCTCGCAACGCGGACACTTGATGTAGTCTGCAAGACCGTCATTATTTTCGTAGTTTATAAGACAGTCGCGATCAAAAATGTGTAGACAATTTAATATGACGGGGTTTTTGAGCGTATTTTGGCACACGCCGCAAGTTGTTGGCAGGCCAGGTGATCCCTCTAGGGCTTCGTCCTTAGATAAATCACCAGAAAAGGCTGCATCCTCAGAGATTGGCAAGTTATTACTGGGCTCTAGCATGACGAGGCAATCACAAGACACGCCGATGCCCAGAACCACAAAATCAAGAGAAGAGCGTACAGACCGCCGCAGTTAGCGGAAATGGGGCGTTCGAATTAACACGAGCAGAATGCTCCTGCATGTCAAAGGCAGAAGATTCGGGACCCACAAGTTCACGACGAAACATAAATAACCGAACTAACAAAGCACCATTCCTAAAGGATCTGTGGATGATGGCAGCAAAACTCAGTACTATAGCACTTATGTTCACAACTTATAGGGCAACATTTTCTCTACGAGATCACGTTGAAGGATATTTAACTATTCCTTTTTTCTAACATCAACATTTTGTTCATATGTCGTTTTAATTGAGTCTCAAAAATGCGTGCATTTACTGGGTAGTTATAAGAGTACAGTAGCTCAAGTTATTATTTACTTACAGGAGACTGTGTACATGAAAAACGCTTAGACATACTCATTTTCACAAGGGGTAGATATCGGGGAAAAATACGGTAGATTGTTTAGCTTATTGAACAGTAAATTGACGTTATCTGCAACCATATTTTAAGCTTCTAACCTACAAGGGCTTTGCATCAATAGGCTGTGTGCAATTAGAGCGGAAAGTCAAAGAACGTGGAGAACTGGATAATTAACGTTCATACTAACCCAGGCTTTCACTTGGGAGGGTAAATTAATTACGGTATGGCCTCTGGGTTCAGCATGAATAATAAATGTGATTTAAGGGAAGGCGTTTGTCAAATAAGTTTAGCCTGGGCCAACAAGTAAATTTTGACATTAATTTTTATGCGAACATCTGTCAGCCTGCGAAATAATTAGTTGTAAACTGAGAATACCAAGCCAACCTGACCTCCATAGTGTTCTAGTATACAGACCTCCTGGATACCGGACGGACGCGGACAATGCACTCATCTCTGAGGCAAAACAAATCTGCCGAAGCAAAAATGTCTTTATGCATTCGGATTTTAACTCACCAGCCATTGATTGGGAATTTATGCACAGTTCGCGATCAGAAAACTCATCGAAACAGAAACTGCTTCATTTGATAAGTGACAAACCTCTTACCCAACATGCCACGATGGACCCGCGGTTCCAAAGTGGCCAACAGTCTAGCTGCCTGGATCTTGCCATTAATAGAGATGAAAACTGTATCCTTGGATTGAATACTCATACCCCTTTTGATGGATAAATTCTTCGGGAATTTATCCATCGAATTATATTTCTCGGGATGCCTATTTTCAAATTCATACCCCTTTTGGCCGAATTGATCATTGCGTTTTTAATTGGGAGCATAGCCATTTCTCGGTAGCCGTCGCTCGCGCAATAAGCGAGAGGAATGCATACATAGGGGATTACACTAAAATGAAAGGACTACTTAATGAGACTGACTGGAGTCCTGCATATGTACCCGACCCGAACGACGCCTGGTGCTTCTTTGGGAACTTAACTCAGCAATTAGTAGAGAACTTTTGCCCACTTAAGAAAAGTTTGCGTGTCTCCTGGCTGGAATAAGTCAAACCAATCATAAAAAAGGAACCTTGAGAAGGAAAGAAGATTGTGGGAAACGTACGCCAGACGTCAACAACCCTAAAACATCTCCAAATTTAAGAAACAGCGAAAACATGTCGAAAACACCTATGGAAAGGAGGATTGGCCTTCGAGACAGTACTAGTCAAGGGAATAGCTAACAACCCGAAAGTATTCTTTTCTTACATGAATAATGCAAGACGCAATCGAGATCCTATTCCTGGTCTGAAAGATAACCAGGGAAACAAGTTTACCGATAACTCAGATAAGGCGAACGTCTTGTCTAACTTCTTTATGTCTGTTTTCCGAGGAGCCGCCTGTTAACGAGGATGTACAGCGACCTATTGTCCCTGCGGCGGATACAATTAGTACGGTATCGTTCGCAATAGACACGGATGTCTTATCAACGAATTTTCTGAATGAGCTCGCAGAACAACTGGCCTCCCCACTTTCCAAGATCTTCGAAAGTTCTATGGAGAAGGGAGCTCTGCGTTCTGACTGGAAGCCTAATAGTTTTAGACCAGTTGGCCTGACAAGCATTTATTGCAAACTAATGGAGAAAGTATTCAAAACGGAACTACTGAGACACATTGAGGAGAACAACTTGCTAAGCGCAGCTCAACATGGATTCCGAAGTGGTCGATCTTGTCTCACTAATCTGCTAACATCCACGGAGAGCTGGATGAAGTCTTTGGAAATGGATTTGTCGGTCGATGCAATATACGTTGACTTCAGCAAGGCATTTGACAAGGTTCCACATAGACGATTAATATGAAAACCGTATTAAATGGATGTGACTAGAAATCTACTCAAATGGTTAGCCGACTTTGTATTGGAGACTCTAAAAGAGAATGGAAAACCGTTTCCAGTGGGATTCCGCAAGGAAGCGTTGTGTGTCCCATTCTGTTTCTGGTATATGTGAACGACTGCCTTGATTTGCTCATTTGTGAGGGAGTCATTTTTGCAGACGATCTAAAGCTTCGGAATTCAACCGAAAGCTCGGAGGATAGACAGACCTTACAAAACGACTCGGATTGCTTGCAAAATTGTTGTGAAAAGTGGCTACTGCAGCTGAATTTCAGCAAATGTCAAATCGTCTGCCTACGGTCTAGTCGCAGAAAAGCGATACCATTTGAGTATGACCACTTCATCAGAGATCACCAACTCGGGCAAGTAAATGAACTACGGCGTCTAGGTGTATGTATGACGCCCAACCTCAAATCGTTAAATCACTGTGCCAAAACCGCAAAGAAGCTTTTGGGCATCGTAGGAGCGATCAGAAGTTTCTTCCTCTATTTTGATGCGTAGCTTTTTGGGAAAGTCTTCGGAACATTTATTCGGCCGATGTTAGTAAATTGCGTCCAGGCATGGTGCCCTTGGATCTAGAAAAATTACGCAATGCTGAAGAAAGTTCAACGAAGGGCGACCAAATTAGTCAGCAGTTTAGGTCTACCTTATGAAGGTCGTCTAGATAGGTTCAAGCTTCTTCCTCTTTATTATAGGCAATACAGAGGAGATATTATCATGGTGTTCAAACTCGTCAGGGGAGTAGATTGTGCTCTTCTGATGTCTGATTTCTTTGAATTGGCACAAACGACGCATCTCCGGGGTCATCCATACAAACTGGTGAAACAGCATGCCAAACTAGAAGTGCAGGCCAACTTCTTCTCCGACTAGGTCATTGAAGACTGGAATAAACTTCCTTCCTCGGTTGTTCTTTCCGAAATCATTGACGCAATTAAAATTAGACTCAATCTTACTTTACTTGCTGGTCATACATTTGGTAGACAACAACGATTTATATAATGAACATATATGGCTTTGAAACACACGCATGATTTTAACATTATCTATCTGTAAATAAGGTTTTCAAAGACTCTACCTATCCCCCTTATATGTACTGA